AAGAATATACAAAAAAAACCCCACCTAACAAAAGTATTTACCCATGGGTATGACTGGAACTAAGCAGATGGTGGGAACAGGGCAGGAGGTATACTTTTCACAGCATGCATTTTTCAAATGTTTTCAAATTTTTGAACCACGTATGCGGTTCATATATTCCATTTTAATTAGCTGTATGTAATACCACCCTACCACAAAGACTTGCCAAGCTCTGTGTGCCAGGCTCTAGAGGGGACACATACAAGACTTGGTCCAGACTTCTAGCATTTTAAAGGAAGAAATCCCATTTATATATATAATATCTGCATGCAAGCCTATTAAAATGAGTTTTAATGTTGATGATGTTTATTCTTCAATTACAAAGAAAAAACGTTTGTCTACTTAGGACTGAAATGTCACTGTGTGAAAATATGGGCTGAAGGCTGAAGGTATCTCCACAGTACAAAGAACAATTCACAGAAGAGCATGAAATTCAAGCCTCATCCTATTGCTTAGGTAACATGGACTCCAAGCAGCTAGTGGAGAGTTGAGGGTAGAATAAACAAATGATAATAGCTATCAGTGGAAATGTACCTATTAACCTAGCAATGAATTTGTCAATAATTACCATCTATTTACTTCGTCCATGCTGGTGCTTAAGCTGTAAGATCTCAGGAAGAAGTCTGCCAGAAACAGACGGCATTTATATTAGGAAAGAGCAGAGCAAGAATCATACATGTACATAGAAGGCTGGTGGCACAGGAAGGAAGGTTCAGGTACAAAGACCTAGAGACCCATGGGTCCGTTAAAGTCCGTAAAATCAACAAAACCTTTGTGTTCAAATTCCACCAGATCCTCGGGGTGCTGAGAAGAACAGAAATTTTGAACAGAAGATGGCCCCACTATTTAGAACTTGATTCCACAAATACAAGAAGGTCCACTCAATCTGTCTAATTGTCCTTTTGGAAAGAAAAGCCTCTTTCCTCTCACATTTTAGGGCATTCAGTAAAAAATCTATGTGTGACTACCATGTATCAGGCCCTGTTCTACATTTTGATAGCCCTGGATAGTTATTTGACTATCCACCTGTGTCCTGGTCCCCCATGCCTCTTTCCCTAGTCAGTCTTTGGAGGTGAGGGAAAGAAGCTCAGTGGGATTCAGTGTCTGATGGGTCAGAGCAAACATAGCCATGTGATCAGTAGAATGGATCTTCCTATTCAGCCTAACAGCTACCTAACCAAATAGCTGCTATGTGATTTAAATTGAAGCCCAGAAAAATAAGTACCTTCGTATTTTAATAGTACAGGATTTTAAAGCTATAAGAGATCTCAGAGGTAATCTAGTCCAACCCATTATTTAATGATTATTTTGCTTGTAAGCTAATATTGCATCATGCATAACAGTTCTTAAGCCAGTTACAGAAAATTCAGGTAGGCAGAACTGTCAATGCAAATCCAGTCTACAGGCTAGTTCACGTATTTTGGCATCAACCCATGCAATTTTAAGGTTCATATTGTGAATTTAAAAAATGTCTGGTATGATATGAAGATTATCTGTATCTCTATGGGAGGGCACTGGAAGTTTCTCTACATCTATGTACTCTGCTTAAAATATCTCTAGGGTTAAATAAATGTCTTCTAAATATTCCCAGTTTATATTTGGAAGTAAATATAAAGTTCATATTTTACTGACTCATTTAGGGATACTTATTAAAATATGTATATTATATATTAATATATAATAAATTTATATATTACATATGTCACAACTGTATCGTATTTATTATTATTGGTCTTATTTAGGGATTATAAAACTATTATAATTATATTATTAAATTTATCAAATTATAATACTATATTATACTCTATTAGATTTCTTTTGTTGTTTGCATAGTGGATGACCACATCTCTAATAGGGATCCAGAGTGATCTGAGGCAAAAACAGATTTAAATCTAGTTATCACAAGATGGTTTAAGGAGAAATAGGTCAAGCTCTGGAATCAGAGTACCTGAATTCAAAGCCCAGCTCTCACTCTGAAGAGTCAATAATTTGCCCAAGGTCACAGGGCTCCTTATCTGTGAAATGGAGAGACTTGTAATACTTAGTCATAGTACTGTCATAAAGATTAAATGAAGTATTGTTAGGCAGCACTTTACAGTGAGTAAAGGCGCGTACAGGACATTTAATAAACTTGGATTTTTTTTTTATCTAAAAGCTAATACACACAGACTTGGGATTGTATATAGGATTTAAAGAAGTTCTGAGCTGCAGAAACAGGAATGAATTATTTATTGAGCCTCCAAGATCATGGAGTTGAAATGCTGATGAACATACAATAGTATCCAATTACAAGAGAGTATTGTGTGATTGGGGATCAGAAGCAAAATACACCTGTTGACTGATTCGATATGTGCATTGAGCAATTTATGCAGCGTATTAATTTTCTACACTCTAAACCTGGTTGTCAGGCATTTTAACATTTCTTTCAGAACGACATCTGGGAAAACTTAGAACAATGAGGAAAGCAAGAATAAAAAATGAAAGGGTGTGACTTATGTTGACAGTTATTAATGGTGGTGATAAATTTTTTTTAAAACAAGGTTATTCATTATTTTTTGGGAAAACCTATTCCACCTATTAGATACTTTTGTCCTTCCCTAAGAGTAACATTCCCCAGAGTCATGGTTTTATCAGTTAAACAAAATTCTATAATGAGGGGTGTCTGGGTGGTTCAGTTGGTTGAGCTCCTACCTCTTGATTTCAGCTCAAGTCATGATCTCAGGGTCCTGGGATGGAGCCCTGCCTCCACGCTCAGCATGGAGTCTGCTTATCCCTCTCTCTCTGCTCCTTCACCCACTCGCACGCATGCGTTCGCACGCACTCTCTCTCCCTCCAATAAATAAATAAAATCTTTAAAAAATAAAAAAATCTACAATGATGATTTAGTGCTCTGCTTTTTAAAAAAAAGATTTATTTATGGATTTTTTAAAAGATTTATTTATTTATTTTTAGAGAGAGAGAGAATGAGCGAGCAGGAGGAGGGGCAGAGGGAGAGGGAGAGAGAATCCTGAAGCAGACTCCCCACTGAATGCAGAGGCCCATGCTGGTGATCCCAGGACCCTGAGATCATGACCTGAGCAGAAATCAAGAGTCTGTGGCTTAACCAACTGAGCCACCCAGGCACCCCCATTTATTTATTTATTTATTTGAGAGAGACAGAGAGAGAGAGAGAGGGCACAAGACAGTGCATGCATGGGGGCAGGAGCAGAGGGTGAGCCTCTTCAAGCACACTCCTGCTGAGTGTGGAGCCTGAGGCGGGGCTCAAGATGGGGCTCCATCTCACAACCCATGAGATCACGACCTGAGCCAAAACCAATAGCCAGAGGCTTAACCCACTGAGCCATTCAAGCGCCCCTAGTGCTCTGCTTCTTAAATCAGTATGCTAATCCTAGGATATCTGGGGCCACAGAAGGGGATAAGAGAAACCAAAATATGGTGTATCTTCCTGAAGCATCAATTTTCCTCAGCTTTTCATATTGAAACCAACAAGGATTTATCATGGAGCAGAATGCAAAATCTACCTGATTTCATAAAATGAAACATCAAAGAAATTGCTCCTTGTACTAGCCTCTTTAGAATTTTTTTTAATTTATTATTATTATTATTATTATTATTTTGCACTAGCCTCTTGAGAGCATGTTTGGGGTACAGAGGCTTTTGTTTCTTTAGGAGAAAGGTTAGCAAGTATTGTATATTAGGAATGGATTTTCCCATCACTTCACATTGTTTTCAGTGACAAAGAGTTTGGAATCACTTTTATATATGGTTTTAATGACTTTGCCTATTTACAAACTTTTTACTGCTTTCTGTTATCTACTGAAATTAGAAATAAATTTATCATACACCACGAAAATGATGCAACACAACATACCGCTGACTAGGACACAGTGTCTGAACTTTGAAACAGCATTCACAATAACCCTGTGCTCTCTACTACAAAATCAGAGAGGAAGACATTTCTGTGTTATTGGAATAACACAAGGTGCTAAAAGACCTCTGAAAAGGAAATAACTGGAATATAAAATTTCCCCTAGAGTTAGTCTTGAATATGATGCAAACTAACTTGAAGAAATTTGCTTAACCTTCGAAACTTGATCTAAAATGTTAGCCATTCGAAATCTAAGTGCATATAAAACCCATTCTCTAGTTCATTAATCTGCTCTTAACTCTTCTTCACAGCACTTACTGTCAGAAACTTATCTTAATCATTTAACTTCGATCCCTAACCCCCAAAAGTAGGGTCAATTGTATCTCCAGCATCTAGCCAGGCACGTGGCTATCATATAATAGACGTTCAAAATATACTTGTTATGACCAGTTTTTATCGCACGGATATTTGTCAAGAAAAACCGAAGCCAAGGATAGGGGAAAGTGTATCTGACCTCTTCAAAAGTGCAGGAACCTACTTGATGCAATGAATGTCCACCTGTACTCTGCGCATCCTTTACCATCTCTGATGCTGAAATGCAGACGAGAGGGCAAGCTCTCGATAGAAAAAGAGGTACCACGTCTCTCCTTACGACCAGAAACTAATGGTTCCCAGTGAATTTGCAGCTTTATATAATCTGAAAGTTCGTACTTTGAGGAGATGAAAGAGCACCTCTTGTAAGGGCAGGAAAATACTCATGTTTAAGGGAACCCGCGGCCAACCGCGGTAGGGATTTAACCCCACCTTCCCCATCGCCCGTCGAGTAGGGTAACCCCAGGCCCGGCCCTTGGCCTCCCGCGTCGGGCAGCGTGCGCGGCTGGGCGCACCGGGACCTCCGCACCGCGGCTCCAGCAGCCGCGCTCCGGGTTTCCGGAGGGAGTCGCGCAGCGCTCAGGGTGCACTCCCGTCCTCAGCGAGCAGCCCGCCCGCTCCCGGGCGGGGCGAACACGAGTCGCACCTTTCGGACCCTCGGGGAGCAAGCCGACCCGAATCCCGAGGCCCGGGCGGGGTTGGGGCCGGGTCCCCTGCTCACCGCTGCGGAGCCTGCTGCTATCGCCGGCCTTGTTGAGGGCGCTGCTGGAGCAGCCCATCGCGGGCAGAAAGGCGGCCTTGTGGACCAGCGCAGCCACCTGTCGCACCCAGGCGCGGGTGTCGGCCGGGAGCTCCGATTCCCCGCAAACCGCCCCGGCGGCGCCGCCGCTCCTCCAACTCTGCCCGCCGGGCTCCCGCGGGTGCGGAGCGCAAGCGCACGGCGGACGGCCGCGGTGGCGGTGCGCACCTGGGGGAAGGTAGGCTGCCGCGCAGAGGTGGAAGGGGCCGGGGGGGCCAGGGAGGGGCCTCGCCAGGGCGAGGAAGCAGGAGAGGACAGGGACAGGGAGCCAGGTGGGCAGAAGGTGGGGAGTACAGTCAAGGAGGACAGGGAAAAGGCCTCAGTAGCAGGGATAGGGACGCTATCCCGGAGAGGGCGAAGGGCTGGGAGGGCTCATCCGATCAACACTAAATAGCTGGGGAGGGGAGGAGGCGATTGTGGCCAGTGGCTATTGATTGGTGGACTAGCTTTGGATGGCAGTCTTATTCTTACATAACGTCAGCACTGTTACCACGAGGAAGTTTGCTGTTGATACACTATTTAATCCACCTCGTATTCAAGTTTGGTCAATTGTCCAATCCAGGACCACACATTACATTTAATTGTTATGCCTCTCTTTAGCTTGCTTTAATCTGAAGTAGTTCCCTCAGTCTTTGTCTTTCATGACCTTGACCTTTTTTTTTTTAAGAGAATAGGCCATTTATTTTGTAGAATATTTCTCAATTTGGGTTTGTCCGGTGTTTCCTTATGATTGTTTTCAGGCAATGCAGTTTTGGCTGGAATGCAAGATGTTATGTTGTCTGTGAATTCCCATCAAGAGCACATGATGTTGGGGCGCCTGGGTGGCTCAGTCGTTGAGCGGCTGCCTTCAGCTCAGGTCATGATCCCAGAATCCTGGGATCGAGTCCCCCACATCAGGCTCCCTGCTCAGCGCCCTCTCCCACCCCCCTGCTTGTGTTCCTGCTCTCTCTGTCTCTATCAAATAAATAAATCTTAAAAAAAAAGAGCACATGATGTCAGTTTGCTCTATTACTGGTGATGTTAACTTTGATCAGTTAGTTAAGGTAGTGTCTGCCAAGTTTGCCATTTTACATAAAAAGTTACCATTTTACTCCTTGTAATTTATGGGGAGAGACTTTAAGACTAACATCCTATATCTCATCAAACTTTTATCTGCTGTTAGCCTACATTAATATTCTTGCTGGGATCAATTATTACTATGATGGTTATCAAATAGTGGTTTTCTAATTACATTATTCCTTCTACATTTATTAGTTGGCATTCTACAGTAAGGGAGCACTTTCCCTTTTCCTCCATTTATTATTCATTTATTTACAGCAGTAAATACTCATGAATTCTTACATTATTCAATGGGTCATGTTACCATTTGTGTTAGTTTTTTAGAGCTGCGATAACAAAGTACCACAGATGGGTTGACTTAAACAACAAAAACTTATTTTCTCGTAGTTCTGAGACTAGAAGTCAGAGAACAAGGTGTCAGTAGGGTTGGTTTCTTTTGAAGGCCTTTCCTTGGTTGGGATGGCAGTGTTCACCACGTATCTTCACATGGTCTTCCCACAGTATAAGTATCTATGTCCTAATCTCTTCTTACAAGGACACCAGTCATACTGGATTAGGGTCCACCCATATGACCTCATTTTACCTTAATTACCTCTTTAAAGGCCCTGTCTCCATAACAGCCATATTACAAACTATAGCGGTTAGGACTTCAACATATGAATGAGGGGGGCACAATTCAGATCCTTACACCTATTAATCTGGATGCTCAAATTGTCTAAAATTTGACATATTTCTCTATATGGGTCATAGGGGTACACAGCTATAGTCTTTACGGTGTGTTTAGAGGTCTCCCTCCCTCCCTCCCTTCTCTACCTCACTTCTCCTCCCCTTCCTACCCCTTCTCCTCTTTCTTCCCCCTCTTCCTCTCCCTCCTGCAGTGCAGACCTGACAGAGCCTGGGCTGCCCAGCAATCAATTCACAAATCCCTTCGAATGAAGAGAAGACTGGGTATCTTTGAGGAAGTACACTTTATAACATTACACATACGTATTATAACTCTCCTCCTAACCTTCTAATCAGGGTTACTGTGCCCCAAGGAAAGAGAAGTACTTTGAAAGTGGCTAAGGATTTGGCTGGATTCCAAGTCGCTGAGCAAAATTACAGGATTAGCACAAGGAAGTTTAAGGGGGAGAGGTACGTGGATAGACCTTTCAGAATAGGCCATAATTTGGGGAATATTTATGTCTTATATAAATGCTATCAAAAGGCCTTCATAGGTTGGGCTGCCGTAACAAAAATGCCATTAACTGGGTGGCTTAAATAACATATTTATTTCTCATAGTTCTGGAGCCTCGGAAGTCTAAGATCAAGGTACTGGCTAATTTGGTTTCTGGTGAGAACTCTTTCTGGCTTGCAGATGGCAGCCTTCTCACTGTGTCCTCACATGGGGTGGGGGTCGGGGGACTTCCTCTTCTTTTTTTTTTAAGATTTATTTATTTATGTTAGAGAGACAGAGGGCAAGAGAGAGCGAGTGGGGGGAGGGGCAGGGGGAGAAAATCTTCAAGCCGACTCTGCCCCTGAGTGTTGGGCTTGATGCGGGGCTTGATCCCATGACCCATGAGAGAGATCATGACCTGAGCTGAAACCAAGAGTCAGATGCTCAACCAACGGAGCCACCCAGGCACCCCTGAGACTTCCTCTTCTTACAAGGCCACAGTCCTAACAGATTAGGGCCTCACCCTTATGACCTCATTTAACCCCAACTACCTCCTCAACCCTACCTCCCCACTGAATCACATTGGGGGTAAGGGCTTCAACATATGAGTGGGGAAGGGAGGGGCCACAAGTCAGTCCACAGCAGGCTCCCAATTCAGAAGATGCTTTTTTTAAAGTTAGTCACATTTAATTTGATTTAGCTAGTGAAAGTTTTTCAAAATTCCATTCTTCCTCAAAAGAGATACAAAAACTCACAGATTAGTTAAATATAAACACTAACTTGAAATTCTCTGAATCTTAATGCTTTCATGCTAAACCAGGGCTTACTGGGCCCAGTTAAGTACCCACTTTTCCCCATCAACTATTTTTTAGGAGTTCACTGGGGTATCTTACTTTTCCTTGGAGATAATTTGTCAGCCAAGCCATGGTCTCTTCCATTTTCTTCAGAGGAAGCATTTTATAATCAGGTGAACAATAATAATCCGTTGTCCTGTGGATGTTAGTCTTTTTCATGAGCCACCTCAATGCTTGCTCAACAGGCTCAGGAATAGGATGGCTCTAAGAACAGAGAAAGAAGACATACATGAGCTCAACTGCATGTTCCTCCACTTAACATGGTTTACCTGGCTGAGGGCCCAGTTTGCCAGTAGCACTAAGAGTGACCAACTATAAGCCTCCGAAATGGTACCTATACCTTAAAGGGCCAATCAGCCACTTCCTGAATGAGTGGTAAGACCTCTTTGGAAACAGAAAGAGTGATTGAACCTCTTTGGTATTTTTTCCTTATTTTAATATACATTGGATTAGATTTGCTTTTCCTGCACATCAGGATAGTATCTTCAAGACATTACACACCAAGACACGACATTCAGTATTGTATCTTATCAAATAACTCACTTTACTGTGAGATAAGTAAGGTAATAGGTTAATTTCTATGTGATTTACTGGCCTTTTCATCTACCTCCACATCCAGAAGAAGCTAAACCTATAGGATGATGGAGGGGCACATTAAACACTCAGTTATGGCACCAGCCAAGAGAAAACATCTTTGAAGGTTAGGGTGCTGCCCTATGGTTTCCAGAGTATGTTTCAAACCAGTGACTAATAAATGGGACTGCTTCTTCCATGACCATATACACAGATCTGGGTCTTGCTCTCCAGGCTTCTTGTTCATTTGGTGAACTACAACCTAATTTTCCTTTTATGCTTAACTGAGCTAGTTTGTTTCTGTTACTTGCAACTTAATTATCTAGACTAATATACAATACTTACTCTACTTCCCCTCTCCCTGACCACTCTCCTTCTTAGCAATTACCTGTCCTGTCTTATTCCTTCAGTCTTATCTTGATAATACCTGAATATAACTGATACTGTCATTTTAAATGCTGATAGTACTTTGATGTGTTATATCTTGAAGGCATAGTCATAAATCTTTTCACTTCCTTTATCATTTTTCTTCAACATACTCATGTTTTGATGTTGTCCCAAATTTGCATTTATTATTTCTCCATTAACTAATCAGTAACATTTTCTGATCAGCATGACATAGAGTGTTACATTATTAAGGTCCAGTTAAAAGCAAAAAAATTGGTTTTAGCCTGTGTATCACACCTTTATTAAGGATAAAAGTACATGTACATGGCAAGCTTTTCAAATTATTGAAAATAATATGTAACATGTCATATTATAAATATGACACTTAGAAACATAGGAATCCCATTTATACTAAAATTTTAAAAACTGACTCTAAGAAATATAAAATAACCCAAAGACAAACATTTATAGACATCACTCTATGTTCCAAGTGTCACTCCTTCACAGTAAAATAGTGAATGAAGTACTCTGGGTTCTTTGTATCCAAGAGTATTTAAAAAATATATGCTCCTTGGATGGAAAAATGGTTTTAAAAAAAAGGAGAAAGCATTTCTCTGGCCTATTTTTAATCCAGTGCAGTCTGGAGCATTCCTAGTCTGAAAAGAGAGGGGCATAGGAGAAATATTTTGGATTCCTTATTATTGTCCTCTAATGGTTCAGAATTCTTCTATCAGCGTATGTGTTTAGTTAGTTGAAAGGTGACCAACATTCATTAGGTTTACAAGATATTTTCACTTAGATTCACCGTCCCTTCCTCTCTTCACCAGATTTCTGAACATGTATAATGTCCAGGGTGACTTAAGAATGTGAAGGTTGAGTTAAACAAATAGACTTCTAAATTACAGTTGATCCTTGAACAACACTGATTTGAACTGGTAGGGTCCACTTATACACGGATTTTTTTCCCGGTACAGTACAGTAATGTACTTTCTCTTATGATTTTCTTAGTAACGTTTTCTTTTGTCTTGTTTGCTTTATCGTAGAGTATATAATACATAGAATATAAAAAATGTGTTGGGATGCCTGGGTGGCTCAGTCGGTTAAACATCCACCTTCAGCTCAGGTCATGATCTCGGGGTCCTGGGATCAAGTCCTGCATCGGGCTCCCTGCTCAGCAGGGAGCCTGCTTCTCTGTCTGCCTGTCACTCCCCCTGCTTGTGCTCTCTCTCTCTCTGACAAATAAATAAAATCTTTAAAAAATAAAACGTGTTAATCAACCGTTTATGTTATCGATAAGGATGTTCTGGTCAGCAGTAAGCTATTAGTAGTTAAGTCTTTGAGGAGTCAAAAGTTATACATGGATTTTTGAAATGCATGGGGGGGTCAGTGCCTCTAGCCTCTGAGTTGTTCAAGGGTCAACTGTACTAATGGGCCGCTTCCTAATCTGGACAGTGAATAACTAATAGCTGATGATAATGAATATGATAGTTTTAACTGCTTAACAAAAAGGGATGGGCCAGTGGACTGAACCAATGAATACCAGATGAACTTCTTAGTATTTGCTCTAACAGGGAATGCAGCCTGTCACTTTTAATTCCCATAGCAAGTATAAACCAAAAGCACAATGAATGCAGGTGCCTGCAGAGTTCTCAGAAACTTGGAGCAGCAATTTTGGTGAATGAAAACCAAAGCCTTGTGTTAACTCTGTTCTATCACATTTACCTGTTGATATTTTTTCAAAATCACTCTGAAATGCTACCAACTGATACCCAGAATAAACAAAATAATATCTAGATGGCAAAATCCCTTCTTAAAGCATATATATTTCCCAACTTTTTAGTATGAAGATTTTCAAACTCAAAAAAGTTTAATAGTACAACCACCGCTTATATACCCTCCACTTTAAATTCAACAGTTGTTAACACTTTGCTGCATTTGCTCTACCTACCTGTTTACCTTCATTTATTTTAGATTTTATTTACATTTATTTTAGCGATTCAAAAATAAGTTGCAGATAATCATGACACTTCATATATACTTCAACATACATCTCTTTGGAATAAGGACATGACTTAAAGCAGTTACTTTTAATAATAGTAAGAGTAATCTTTTAACACAGGGGTCAGCAAACTATGGCCTGCAGGCCAAATCTGGCCAGCCACTTGATTCTGTAAATGTTTTATTGGAACACAGCCGTTATATATTGCCCGCGGCTGCTTTTGTGCTATGGCAGAACTGCGTCATTGCCACAGAGAACATATGGCCCCAAAGGCCTGAAGTATTTATTCTTTGGCTCTATAGAAAAAGTATGCCAATTCCTGCTCTAATAAATACAAGTATCGAAAATTTTATAAAATCTTCATGAGTCAAAAGATAGGACTGTCATTTTTGTATGCTGTTTCTTCCCCTCGTATATAGGTTTTGTAATGTTGTGAAAGACTTTAGATGTGGGCAGATGGCTGTGGTAGGAAGGTTGAAAAGATGGGAGTTGGACTGATGAAGAGAACTAATATCCACCGCACATTTGTTCTGTACAAGGCCCAATGCTAGGTGCTTTATACACCATTACGTTTACTGGGATCCTCACAACAATACTACGAGGTAGACATATTATTCTAGTTTTCTGATGAAGAAACTGAGGCTTAGGGAGTTTAGACAATTTGCCCCAAGTCAAGCAGATATTAAATAGAAAAACCAAGAACCTAAGTCTGTCTCCAGAGATACAGCAAAATCAGTTAAGATTCTCTAAGAAGAATTCTCAAACATTCTGTGGTACGTTTCATACATAAAATAAGTGCTTTGGGCTTCTCTGGCTTCCAGTACAAAACCATATTAAGATCGTTGGGATCTTTAAAGTATAGCGAGGACATATATAGTAAGAACCAGAAACTTGTTATCGTAGAGCGAAAAGCACCCCAGGAAAGTCTTATCAAGTACTTTAATCATTTAATCTCTAAAATGGGGATAATATCTATCCTGATCACTTTGGGAGAAAGTATTAAAAAGCTTTGAAAATATACGGCTCAATATAAAAGTATAAGGCTTATTTAGTTTTTGTCTTTACCTAAGCAGGCATGCCTCAAACCCAACTTGGCTATCTCATTCTTTAGTTTTTTGTGTTTATTTGAAAGTAACCTTCACCCCCAGCATGGGGCTCAAACTCAGGACCCCAAGATCAAGAGTTGCATGTTGTACCAACGGAGCCAGCCAGGTGCCCCTCATTCTTTAGTTCTTTACTTCTCAAATTCTAGTATTTATAAGAATCCCCGAAGCTGCATATTAAACTGAGATTCCTGTGCTCCACCAGAGATTTCTTCTACATACCTGGGTGGGGTCCAAGAGTCAGAATGCAAGGTGATTCTCAATCAGGTGATCTGGGAGCCATACTTTCAGAAATACTACTTTAAGATATAACTGGTGTTTCACAAGATCTATTTAAAACCACCACTTTATTATTAAAAAGGAACTTTACATAACAATGCATGCTGTAAAATAATTCAAGTAGTACTGAAATACATAAGGTAAAAAAAATGTCTTCTCATCATCCACTCTCCTCATACCTTATCCAGTGGTAAGTTTTGACGATTAGCTTTCCAGACTTGAATTTTCTATGCATATACAAACACATACATTAAGAATGATGAGCATTTGATGTTGTTTCTAATTTCTTTTGCTATTAAAGATAAAATGCTGAAATAAATATCCTTGTGCACATGACTTTGAGAAACTGTTTCTGTAGGATATATTCCTAAAAGTTGACATACGATGACGGCTTACCTACTGGTCCAATTTTACACTTTTTGGGTACTAGTGGGAGACGCTCTGTGCTCGCTATTTTTAATAATCCGTCACTGGACATTTATATCAGGGCCCAACGTTCACAACAAAAAGATTTGTCAAAGAGATCTGTTTATTGCTCTATGAAGATTCGGCTTACAAGGTTACGCTAATACCGCCACTAAAGAGGTGAGTTTGGGAAAGTCAGCGCGGGGCGCCACCGTTCTCCGAAAGAGGCCGGCAACTTGGGCGAGGGCAGGGCAGGGCGCACAGTTGCTTCGGCCCGCGTGGAAGTGACGCGGAAGGGTAGACCCAGGAGCTGAGGCGCACTGGAGTCCCCTCCAAGAGCCGCGGCTTCGCGACAGATGAGCTCCGCCGCACTTAGACCGTGGTCCAGCCGCCGCCGCCCCTTCTACCGTCCCTCCCGCCTCACTCTCAGTCGGCTTCTCCAACTCCCGCCCGGTTCAACGTTCCCCGGTTCCTCAGTTCGCAGCTCGGAGCAACAGACTAACACAACTTTAAGGCCCGCAGCAAGAGTAGGGGCACAGGTCTACCGCCATTCTAACTAGCCATACAAACATCAGCAGCCAGCCGCCCTCCTCTCCTTGCCCCTCCCCTTCCGCTTGCGGCTTACTTCCGGTTCCGGCGTCCAGGCTTTGCGGTGAAGAGCTTTGCATTGTGGGAACTCTTTCCTTTCTCTCTCCCGGCCATTTTGGCGGCTGGTTTTAGGTGAGTGGCCTCTGCGGGGCCGACTCCCAGCGCGTTGCTGTTTGGAGCTGCGATCCTAAACTTCCTGTCCTGTCCTCTGTATGTTCTAGGTTGGGGCCGTCCCGCATCTAAGGCAGGAAGATGGTGGCCGCAAAGAAGACGGTGAGTGAAACGCGCCAGGGCTGGAAGCCGATTCACGTGGAGGACTGAGTCTCGGCCCGGGCGGGCAGATCTGAGCACACTGGGGAGACAGCATGCCCACTGGCATGGAGGGGCCCGAGAGGAAACCGAGTGGTCCTTTCAGTGACTTAGGATCCTAGACTTGGGAGGTTTATTAAAGGGCTCGACTTCCAGAAAGCTGGATGCTGTTTTGAGATGGTTAAAAAAAAAAAAAAAGGCCTTAAAATCCGTGTTAAATGTTTGCTTTGTAGAAAAAGTCGCTGGAGTCGATCAACTCCAGGCTCCAGCTTGTTATGAAAAGTGGAAAGTACGTGCTGGGGTACAAGCAGACTCTGAAAATGATCAGACATGGCAAAGCGAAACTGGTCATCCTCGCCAACAACTGCCCAGCCTTGAGGTAATCGAAGGAACCTTGAGGGTGTGTGTCGCCCACTGTATATTGATCGGAGTGAATACCCAGGAGTGTTACCATGGGCAATCTGGGTAGTACGACCTCGGTTTTACGTAAAATTTGTTTTACAAGCGAGCATTTGGAGAAGAATCTACGGTTTCTTTCGTGGTGGTTGGGGCTGACGGCCCCGGCCCCCCATCATGTTCTCTTATTGTGTAAGCTCATCTTAGGGAAAAATGTGTGGCAGAGGGGTAAAAACCACAGAACATCAAAGTTGGAGGGAAGCACAGACACGTTGCTTGTTCACCGTGTGTTTTGTGTCCTGCCGTTTTGGTCATTTCTTTAAAATACTTCATTTTTCGAACTCGTTTTAGTGTAGAAAAGCTAAGATAAGTTCAGGCTGGCCGTGGAGCTGCAGGTTCCTAATTCCCCAAGTTTTTGCTTGACTTCACTTTTGAAATTGAACTTAGTATGGAAAATAAGGTAAAGAAACTTGGACTGTGCAGAATATAAGCAGCGTGATCAGCCCCTCCAGCACATTGATTTTTCTGTGGTAATGCATAGCCTGCTCACAGGATTTTTTATAGGGTGCCTGTACATAATTGGTTTTCCTGGAGTGCTCCGTCCTCCATCCCATCCCATGGTTTGGTCTTCAAGCTTATCTTCTATGGCAGTGCTTCTCAAACGTGAATGTGCACAGTTGCTGGTAATCTTGTTAAATGCGGGTTCTGATTTCATGGGTTTGGGTAGGCACCTGACATTATGCATTTTTAACAAGCACTCAAATTACTGCTGGTCTGTGGATCCATACTTTGAGTAGTGGTACTGTTCTGTTAGGACTCCCTTCAAAAGGATTTGTAAAACCTTTAATGTCCACCTACTCAATTGACACAGAAATGTTAGCTCTGTGTAAGTAATACTCCCCATCTAGGATTCAGAGCACCAGACAGAGAAATAGCTTATCTTTTAAAGATAACATGGGTTTGGATCCTGGAACCTCCACTTACTCTTCTGTGCCTGAATGTCATTAGTTTAAAAAAAAAAAAAAAGGAATATATACTACTTAAGAGGTTGTTGTGGAATTATATAACGTAAAGTGTCTGGTGACTAGTAATTGCTAAGTAAATACTTTTATTTCACATCCTTCTCTCTTCCATGAGCATAGTTATAGTCTTAAACATAGATAGTCAGAAGATAATTTGGTGATTGTCCCATTTCATATAAGGGATCAAAGGGAAGGATGGTTTGTATTGGCTCATGGATGTACTTTTTTTAAAGAGTAACAACTGGTTTAGTTACTGTTGGAAAGCCTTACCAACATTAAAACTAAAGACGAAAGTAGTAACATTTTATCTGTCAGTCACTTGTTATGGTATTTATTTATTTGTCTTTTGGTTTCTGAAGGAAATCTGAAATAGAATACTATGCCATGTTGGCCAAAACTGGTGTCCATCACTACAGTGGCAATAATATTGAATTGGGCACAGCATGTGGGAAGTACTACAGAGTATGCACACTGGCTATCATTGATCCAGGTATGTTTTTTAAGTCCTAGAATAATTTTTTTCCTTTATAATATAATTACAGGTATTCTTTGCTATACCAATGTCTATGGTTCCTAGGTTCAGATATTGAGAATTTGGATAGAGCAAGGGATATCCTGTAGTTTTATTTCACAGAGAATTGATAATGAGTATCAGTACATTGTAGTAGATCTTGTTATAAGTGAATTTTTTTTACTTTGAAATGAATTTTGTTTGAAGCACTTAAATAATTTAGGACCTTGGTAAAGGTGAAGTTATAAAGGTGGAGAGTAATCAGGTGAAATAGTGGAAGAGAGGAGTCCCTATTGGCTGCCTCAGAACAGATAGGTAAAATTAAGTTGAGAAGTGCCTACAAATACAGATCATGTTATATTTTGAACTTACGAGTTTTTAATTCATAAAATACCGCGAATATTCTCGCTGTTCTGATTTTGTAATAATCAGGGCAGGCTAAACATTCGCTATATTAAGACCATGCATGTGTCCCCAGACCTAGTTCTTTCCCTAGGTCTGGTTTTATCAATGCCGGTGATAAACCAAGTCTGATTATATGATGTATCATATATGGGAAATGCCTGGGACTCAGTATCTGATTATCCTTGAGAAATGACAGCAAAGCTAGTGTCACAACTTTTGAAGATAGCCATTGCTAATTTGATGATTACCAGTTGTGATTAAATGAATTGTAAAACTGTTGTTTTATTTTCTAGGTGATTCTGATATCATTCGAAGCATGCCAGAACAGACTGGTGAAAAGTAAATCACGCAAAATTTTTCTTTAATAAAACTGGCCACAGCTTGTTTTAAAAACACTGTATTCGTTGCAGTTTTTTTCTTTATATCTTTTTGTTTCCATACACTTTCCTGAAGATAGGATTTGAGAGGATGAGGCAGTTAGATGTGGTGGCAAGACTTTTGGGTTAAGAGCTGTGTGTCCCAGTTTCTGTTTTCCTTTTTCTAAAGGGAGTGCAGAGTTCCTTTCCTCTGCTAGATTTTTAAAAGATTCCAGTCTTTTAAAATTGTTGATCCTGTTGGCATATTATATTTGAGTATGTTTGAGAGGCAGCAAAGATCAATACCCAGAATTTAACCAGAATTATTATCCCAGCCTAACTCTACAAATCTGATTAGCAGAGAGGATTAAATGAAATATGTATTCCCCTCCCAAAATTTTGTGTGTCTGAAAAGTTCTGTTGAACTTTAATAAAGAAGGATTTTTCCTAAGGGTGTGTAGTGGTTGAAGTAGAAGATCTGTACTTGGAGCACTTCAGAAGAATCCCAGATCTTCAGTAAGTGCTAAGTCCACAGTTCACCAAAGTTTGTTTTCTATCATTTTATTCCTAGAAGATAAGATACACTGTGAAGTGTATTTAGCATTCAGATTTTTGGGAAACTGCATACCATGTCTCTCAGATATGTCTGATGGGAACCCTTTTCCCAAATCTGTTACTTCCTTGGGACATTTCCAGGAGTTACTTGGGGAAAAATACTGATTTAGATATATCCTGATTTACAAAGTCAAACGTTGCTGGTAGAGTATACACAATCTGTGCTGGGCTCTCGGGCTACAGCAGTGTCAGAAATAACCATGTCTTTTGGACTTAAGATCTTATTCAGCTCTCGTAGGCAATTTTGGATAGGAGATGAGTGAGATATAATAGGAGATGAGGATGCCATCAGTATACCGTATGGAATGTCAGTGTCCAGTATTTACTGAACTTGGAGTCACAAGACTCCTTTTTAATCACTATGGAACAACCACAGATGGGTCAAATTCCCAGTTTTTTAGGTAAGGGAATAGGTTAATACTGCATGATTTTAGTTTGTGTCTGAAGTTAATCTGAGGTTGTAGATATAATTTGAAGAATAGCTGTTAACCAACTGGTTTTCTTACTGGTTGTTCAGTTACTCAGTATTTTATCAATTTGGGAGCACTACTGACATTTTTTCATGGGACAATTCTTTGTTGTGGAGGACTGGATATACTGCAGGATATTTCTCATGGTTTTCCATGTTGTAATGATACCCCCAAATGTTACCCCACGTTTTCAAAGTAGCATCTCCTGGTTAAGAGCCACAGAGATAATGAAAATCTGTTAAATGTTCTAAAGTGCTCATATTTTCATATCCAGAGACTTGTGCCCAACGTGTTTTCAAATGCTTAAAATTTGTCCTTGAAAAGAATTGCTTGCTGGTCCCTAATGCTATTAGTCTGTTCCATAGTTGTTAGAAATGTTTGTCTTTGGGTTAAGGAAGTTTGTGTGCTTATTTTCTACTTACTTGGTAAATTTTGCCTTTCAAATTGAGCTTGCAGCGATATGGGTTAATTTTGGATTGTTTTTCCCTCCAGGTTGACTTGTTTGTTAAATTTAATTTCTTAAGGGATGGTCCCTGAAGAACACAGTATTGCAGGTACCAGTGTACCATTTCTTTGTAATGGTTCTGTTGCAGGACTTTTGGCTGCAGGCATTTTGGAATGATGGCTTCTGGGAAATAATTTTGTCATTTCTAGAGGCTTCTATGTGGTGATAATATGCTATAAGGTCATTCAGCTTTTGCCTTTGTGCTTTTCGTGCACTCGTTTAAGAATAAAGGAATTTAAAGTTCAGAGAAAAGGAGTTTAAAGCTTGTAAATGGGAAACCTCTCACTCATTCTGTCTTGGGACAGCTGTGATGAAGTGCTATTAAAATGCTGCCAGAATTAGAGAAAATACCACTGGCCAGGAAGATCTGGGGAGTCCTAAGTTTTAGGTATTTTTAAAATGTTATTTTCTGATTATAATCAAAGTAATGTGTTTGGCTGGGAATCTCTAATATGCGGGGGATTGCAGGAAATTCCAGCCAACTGGATTTATTCCATACTTGTACTGAGCTACCTGTTAGGTCTGGAGATAGAAATGTCCCAAAAAAGAGGCTGGTTATTGTGGAGTGTGTTAATTGCAATTGGTATGGTATCGTGGCAGGGGCAAAAGGTACGTGAAGAAACCAAACTCTAGGCTGGTCCTGAATGCAATTAGTTGGGCCTTTGGGAAGATCTGGTTCATGGAAAACAATTCTCTTTGCTTGCAAATCTTATTTCCAGCTGCCCCTTAACACTTGGGCTCCCCTGTTTGCCGTGGCATCTGGTTTCCTTCCCCCTTGCCCTCCTTTTCCAGGCCTACCCCTACATCCTCTTCTAGTCTAGATTGGGTGCCTCTGAGTTACCCTAGAACTTTTGTGGCATTAATCACACCTGTTTCTCACTAAGGTCCTAGAGGACAGACTCAACTTTATATCACGAGTTCAAACACCAGGGTGAATAATGACTTTTAGGGCTTAAACATTTACTTAATTCTCATTGATAATGCTTGTGGCTTTCTAGGCCAGAATTTCATCTTCATCTTGTTGATAGTAGGTCTTGAACATCTATACATTTACTATAATTTACTACCTCCTACCTGTTTGCTTCAAAAGATAATTTAGGAGTGGGAATCTGCCTAAGTACTTTACTTAGATAAGGTAAGCAAAGCATTCATTCATTCACTCGACATATACATAAATTACCGTCTTTGTGTCAGATATCATGGGCTGCTGAAGAATAAAAACAGTGTCTAATAATTGAGTATTTAAAATGATACTTTACTAAGTAATGTACACATTAACCCATTTAATCCTCTTGGCAATCCAGTGAGATAGTACTATTAGTCCCATTTGACAGATGAAGAAATCAAGGCTTGTAAAGGTCACCACAATAAACCTGAATGTAAAACCTTTACACCTAAGACATAACAGATAGCAAAACAAGGAAAAGGAAGTATTTCAGATTTTAGACCATCTTCAAGTAAATATCTTGGATTAATATGTAAATTTGACTGATTGCTTGGAGGCCTTTGTTTCCTTTGAAGGCATTCTCCCCAAGATGAAGAAAGTTGAAAACTGATTAAATGTATTTAATGGCTAAAAATAAAGGGGTGGGGGGGGTGCAGTCTAGAGCCACTAGAGGGAGCTGGGACTCAACAGAAAGTGAAGTACAATTGAGCCAAGGAACCAATGCCTGAACTAGGAGTACCTCTCAGAAGGTAATGCCAACCCAAATCAGTGCTTACTAATGAAATCCTGTTCAGGATCAATTGGATGACTCAAATACAAATACAAACTAAAGGTTTAATACTTTGGATCACAAATTTTAAATTTGGAGAGAATCATGATTTTCAGGTTAAGATTGAAGCTTAAGAGATATTCTTCCCACTCTACCACACTGCCCTTTGGGAGAACTCTGATGAAAACACTCATCCTGAAATATTTAAATATAAGCTTATTGGAGGTGTTCTGTTTAAAAAGTATCATTTGGCCTCAAATACAGTAGCTTCCATGCGAAGGATGTCATTTTGGGGGTCTTCGTTTTTGTTGTGAGATTTATTTTAGAGTGCATGAGCTGGGGCAGGGGAAGGGGGCAGAGGGAGAGTGAATCCCCAAGCAGACTCCCCGCTAAGCACAGAGCCACACTAGTACTCATCCCAGGACCCCAAGATCATGGATCATGACCTGAGCTGAAACCAAGAGTCAGATGCCCAACTGACTGAGCCACCCAGATGCCCCTACCTTTGGCTTTTTAAAATTCATCTTTGAGTTTTATTGTCTATACGTGTAGGTCTAGTGCCTTCCTTTTAAATGTTGTATGGTATTTCTGAGGTAGGGACCACACCACAATTTTATCAGTTCCCTTTCTGATGATGATTTAGGTTATTTTCAATTTGTGACTTAGAAACTCAAGTGACGTTCTTGTACGGGTCTCCTTGTGTGTATGTGCTAAAAGTCCTCTAGTTAGATGCCTGTGAGGGCAGTTGCTAGAGTGCAGGCTTGTGTGCATTTTCAGTTTTACTAGGTATTGACAGATTATACTCCAAAGAGCATGCCCATTTGCATTCTCAGTAGTGTGTACAAGAGCCCCTTTTTCTTCATCCTTGCCAATACTAGTCAGACACTAATTTTTGCCAAGCTGATGGTTTTAACGTGTTTTCCAGATGGCCAGTGAGATTCAACATTTTTTTTTCAAATGCATATTGACCATTTCCCATATACACATACCTTGCATTCAAAGTTAACTAGGAATTTTAGGCAGAATACCATTCTCTGAAGTGGTGAATTTTAATATTGTATAAAAAAATCCAACTTGTTACACAAGTACATACGTTTTATGATTTTATGCATACATCCATATACATATATCAAGATAAAAGTCCAATACAAAAAAATAGCTTTTCCTATGGAGCCAGTGTTCTACAGAAGTAAGACCGCAAACTATTTTGTAGTCAAATGAGATCGCAACACTCAAAGGCAGGACAAGGCAAAAGCAATTCATGTCCACAGTATGTTACAGGATATCTTGCATAGCTTGTTTGTTCTCAATTGATAATCTCATTTTAGGGTACTGAAGCACTTTTTCTCAAATTTATACAAGTTAGTGTGTACTTTTGCCTTTGTGTTCTATAGCAAACCAGCTTTCTCAGTACTAGTTATGTTTTACTTTACAACTTTATAGACTTAACAATAGCCTGAGCTTTGGGGCCCAAGCTGCTTTCATTGTAACCCTTGATACAATGATGGACAGATAACGTAGAGCATTTCGAATCTTCATCTGTATCTCAGCCGATTTTCCAGGGCTTCCATCCTTTGTGTCATTTCTTCTAGTGACTCTCAAATTAAGGAAGAGGAATCTGAATTGCCTATTTTTATTTACATTCAAATACAACTTGATTTAGCTACATAAAAATCTGTCCTGAAAGATAACAAGCCTTTGGATTTTCCCTTTTGGAAAAATTTTTAAACTC